ATGAAGACTCACTAATGAACATGGGGATTGAACCATTGATTGAACAGTTCCTCAGTATCCTGCAAAAGGAGAGAGGAAAGGAAAAGGTCATTCAACAGACAATATTTGATTCCAGTTCTATTAGGATTAAAATCACTCATTCATGGGAAAACCTGAAAAAAAATTTTAAAAAAAAAAGTACAGCGTTTTAATTTGGGGAAGGTGTGGGGACGATGGCAACTGGAACGAGGATGTTCCGACATCACTTATGGTCCTGTGGGAATTGAGAACCAAAAAAATAAAATTCAATTTTTCCCCATAAAAAACAAAAAGCAAATTGTATGTACAATCATTATTAACAAAAATATAGATCATGTTTTTTTCGCAATTCAGATAACTATTGATCAATCTTTTTGCTACAGTTTTTTCCTCACAAAAATTTAAAATTCAGCTCAATTTTTTTATTAAAACCTATGAAAAAAAAAAAAAAACATACTCATAGTGTATGCAGAAAACTCGTAAATCAAGTGATATAAGATGGGCGGTACTACACTTACAGAGACTCAAGCATTGACAGATTAAAAACCTCTGTTGGTATCGGTCGTTCAAAATTATTTCCCAATAATTTCCTGGAAGAGCAACGCAAGCTTTTTCTAAAAAAGCAGTTCAATTCAGAATCTAAGGCAAGTAAATGCTGGAGATTTATAATTACTTCGATTATATTTGTTAAATATGTGACATATACATAAACCGAGTGGTTTTATTAGTTGAAACAAAAGTATTGGAGTCGTTACATCATACAGATGCACCCAGCTTCGTGTCGTTTTTAGTAATTAAGAACAAGAAGGTTGCGTTTGGTATGAGATTTTCAGAGTCAGGAACTATGATTTTGGTTTAAATTTTTGTTTATTTGCAAAAAGTATAAAATAATTTTTAAAAATCAGTATTTGGTTTGAATAGTTCTTGTTCAAAGTTTAAATTCTGATGTGATGTTTTAAACTAGAACTATCTCAAAAAATAAAATCACCACCTCCTTGATTTTGGATGGTTCAAACATCTGGCTCTGATTCTGGTTCTAGAATTATGGTTTGGACTTTAAATTTAAACCATAAATCATGATTCTAGTTCTAAAACTAAAATTATTTTGATTTGAACCTTCATACCAAACGTAACTGAAATATTAAAACGCCGTAACTAGATATTTGAGC